TTCCAAGCTCTTTCCCACCTCAGGGCTTTTGCAAAGGCTGTTCTCCCTGCCGAGGACCTTTTCCCAATCTTCTCCTATAACTGGCTCTTTCTCATCCATCAGGTCGCAGCCCAAATGCCAGCTCCTCGGGGACGCCCCCTTGGCCCCCAGGCTGAAGTGGCCACCCAGATAACTCTGCATCACATCTGCTGTTTATCCCTTCCTGGTGTGCATCACAATGTGACCTTACCTGGACTTATCGGTTTATTGTTTATTGTCCATCTCCTGAGGGCAGGGCCTATGTCTGTCCTGTACAGCACTGAATTGCCGGGGCCCAACCCAGCACATAGTAGGTATTCAATAACTATTTGTAAAACAGTGAATGAAAAGATGAATGAATGGACAGAACCTTAACATACTAATATACCCCTCTGCCCCCTATTGCCTCTCGCCTTCCCTCTGCAACACAGACAAGCGCAGGGGTGCTCCCCAAATATCCTGGTGCCCAAGGCAGCCCAACACAGAGAGCTGCTGAGACCCAGAGGGGCAGGTGGATCCTGAAGTCCTGAGGCAAGACCTAGGGAAAAAGGGAAAGAAAGAGGGAGGAGAGAAGGAGAAAGAGGAAAAGAAGCAAGAGAAAGGAGACAGAGCTGGAGGGAAAAGAGAAAAGGCCGACAAAGAGGGGAGAATGAGCTGGGCTGGGTGATAATCCTATTTCTTCTCTATTAGCAAAACTAATAATTATTATTAATACCTGGCCCCTCCTTGGCCCTTTCATCCAGGTTGGTGGGGAAGTTTTGAAGATGAAAGTCTGAGGGGCCTCCCAGATGCAGGTTATAGGGCTTCACAACCACTAATTAAACTTGGCAGCCCCCTCCAATTACCTCCCACCCCCACCCCCAGGATGCTGTGTCACTAACTCATTGCCTTTCCAGGTGGGCACACAGCAGCTAGCTACTCTCTGGGCCTGGCCCTTCTCCAAGAGATGCAGAGTAGCTGCCACTGGGGGCATGGGGCTGTCAGCAGAGGCAGTCTTGGGGGAGGTGCCAGAACGAGGAACCTCACACCAGGTGGCACTGAAACTCAGGAGTCCTGCCCTCAGCTGAAATTACAGCCCCATCCCTGACGCTGCCCCCTCCTACCCACCCCAAGGTCTGTGTCTCTGGGTCCTGCCAGATGGCAGTGGGGGAGGTACCACCGGGAAGGAGGCTCTAACTAGACAAAGAGTCAGAGTCGGCATGTCCAGCCTCCGTGCAGCCCCAAGACCATGTGGGCTCCTAGTCTCCGGCATCCTCAGAGGCCATTTTGTTCCACCTCCCTCAAAGGGGCCTCCCGTCTCAAGCGACCATGACCGACATCAGCCCGGCTCCCCCGCACATCTGCAGTGATGGGGCCCTTGCTACCTCCCGCTGCCGAGCTGCCTGAACTGTGGGCTGTGCGATCTCATCCAATTCTTTAACGTTAAGTACAATCGAGAGGCTCCTGAAGATACAACAGCAGCCCCCGCCTTTCCAATGAGCCCCAACTGCCTTCCCTACCTTTCTACTAGGATGTCTCAAGGGTGGCTCCAAAAATAAGAGGGCCCGTGCTTGATTCCCACCCTCCACCAAGGTCATAAATCCCCCACCTTGGTTCTAGGCGCCCCCACCTTGGTAAGCGGCCCCACCGTCCACCCATCGCTCAGTCCTAGGACCTGGAATCATCCTCACCCTGTAGCCACTCCATCTGGAAACCCCACAGATTCTGCTTTCAAAGCATTTCTCAAATCCGGATGTTGTCCTCCATCCTCACAGCTGCCATCATGCTCGGAGCTGCCGTCATCGCCTGCATGAGAGATGACTCTTCAAACAAAGCCAGAGTGGACTTGGAAATACACAAATCAGAACATGCCATGCCCTGATTAAAACCCTTCATTCCCTTCCCACAGTAGGTAGAGTACGATGCATGCTCCTCACCAGGGCCCACTAGAACCCTGGCTTCCTGGCCGATCTCTCCTCTTTCCTTCTCCTTGCTCGCCCCCACCTCCATGTGGCCCCTCGGCTCTTCTCATTCTTGGCAGCTTTGGTACTAGCTGTTCCTTCTGCCCGAATGCTGGCTGTTTCCCCAGACCTCCTCATGGCTGCACCTTCTCACCCTTCTGGTGTCTTCCTCAGAGGCCCATCCCCGCCTCCTCCAAGAGAATGAGCCCACCTCTGTGACCTCCTCGGTTCTGCCTGTTTCCTTCACGGTACTTATAGCACAACCTGTAATGATAAAGTCATTCGCTGGTTGATGATATATGTCTGTCTTCCCCACTAGATTGTGTCTTTTCGTCTATGCTATCCATTGCTTTATTGCTCACCAATGCCTTGCACAGTGCCAGGCACGTAGTAGGTGCTCAACAAATGTGCTAAATGGATTAGTGACCTGAGATTCGTATCCTGGTACCACCAACACATTGGGTCCTGTTCTCCCCTTCTGGTGACTCAGAGCTAGGCCTTGGCAACCTGGTCCTGCAGTGTGGCGAAGCGCACAGAGACCTGGATCGGGATCCAGGAGGCCTGGCGGCAATCTATGTCCCTTTACTCCACTCTGAAACCGCCAGGTGACCTAGGCACATCTCTGACCTCCTGCCTCGGCTTCCTACTCTGGGAAATGAGGATAATAATCTGAGCTCTTGGGAGGTATGATGAGACACAAAGGGAGTATGGACATCAAGGCCAGATCACAACTATGTCCCAGGCAGATGTCCTGACTGAAGTGCAGATTTACACACTCACACTGACATTCCCCAACCAACTTCTGGGCTCAGAAACTACAAAACCCCTTCCTAACACTCACCCCAACACACACTCCAGCCTCAGGCAAGGCCCGTCTTTCCCCAGTAGTATGGGCGTCTGGCGCCATCTAGTGGACATCTAGGGCAGTAAGGCATTCTCAGCCTCTCCGTTCCCTTAGGGTGGGACCCCGCCCTGATTGGTCCTCGCGGGACAGGCTGGATCCAGGAGCCAACATCCGGGCGCTTAGCCTCTCGTCCACCAACATGCAGTCCTAACCCTGAACCCTCTCAGCCCCACCCACCAATCTTTGCGCTTACCCCCCACCATTCCCTTCCCTCTGGCCACGCAAAACTTCACGAATGATCCTGAATGATTCCAAGTTTCCCTTTCACTCAAGACCTTCCCACAGAAAGTTTTCTCGGTCTAGGAATTCTCCTCCGTCCTCTCTCCTCCCTGTCCTGGCTGACCGCGACTCCCACACTGGGCCGCTGCTTAAATGGCCCCTGCACAGAGGCCCCAGACCAGGCTAGAGCTGTCCTCCTTTGCCTCACGGCCCCCTCCTCCGCCCCGTTGCTAAGCCTGCTCCACATGCTCCATGTTTCTTGCCTGTATTCCTGTTAGACAAAGACCTTGGCAGAGGCCCTGCAATGCTCCCCTCTTCAGGCTAATTGCTGAGCGAGTCTGGGGCCCATGCACTCTGCTGCGGTGAGCTCTGTGGGCATCTGAAGCAAGTGGGTCACAGCCTGTGAAGGATGGAAACGAGGTTTGCAGGCAGAACGCAGGCTATTGCTTCAGGCTGCGCCCCATTTCCCAGCCCCAGCACCCACTGGGCTGCGGTTGGCCCCTGACTCCTGGCTGTGTGTCTGAGGTGAACTAACTCATCCTCTCTGGAACACAGCTGCTTCTCCCCACGTTCCCCTTGCACCCTTTTGCAAGACTTCCCTCCAAGGGGAGGAGAGGATGAATCCCATGGGCGAATTAAAGAATGAACTGTTGCTAAGAATGGGAAGTATGGGGCCTCCCAGGCTGGGCTTGAGGGTCCAGGAAAGGGCTTGTGTGTGTCTTTCTCAAAGACAAACCCCCACTCTTCATTCACGCACTCAACGGATATTTGAACAATGCCCGGATCCAATATTAAAGATATTGGGGCTCTGGAATTCTATTGTCTGGGCTCAGATCCCAGCACCACCA